CGTACCGTATCGCGATATATATCGCGGTATACCGCGAGATTAACTACCATGCTTCAAAACGACGTTTTTGCTATTTTAGGAAAGTTTTAAATAATTCATAATTAATTCTAGAAAAATCGGATATGAATTCCGCAAGTTGGGTTGTTTCCAACTTTCGGTATTCTATTAGGTTTAGGAGTTATTTCGTTTTTTTGCCTTTTTTGGTAATTTTCTCGTTTTCCTAGTTTGACTAGGTTTTTTTGTTTTCTTTAGTATAAATAGTTGCTCTAGGGTTTATTTTTCAGCATCTTTCATTATTAATAAAATTTCTGAGTTTTCTCTCAATTATCTGGTGGATTCCAGAGTTATCTTGTTCGATAGGATTAATTCGTAGAAATTAATTCTTTACCGTGCTTTCGTTCTGCGTCATTTAAGGTCCATGTGGTATCGATAATTACACTCACCTCCTTGAAACGTAGTTAAAAACTCTAATGGGATAATGCATTGGATACGTTATTACGATAGAGTTCTAACGGACTATTGGTTTCTAGAAGTGGTGGAGACAACAAAGAGTTATAGGTGATTTAAGAAATATTGGGGGAGCCATGTCACCCCATAACTCCTCATAACTCTATGTTATCTCCACCACTAGCTAAAAGTAATAGTCCATTAGAACCCTATCGGCAGGGGCGGACCCAAGGTATAAGACCTTGGGGGGCCTCCGCCCCTGCAGAAATATTTTTTTTACCTATTTTTTATTAAATTTTTAATATTTTATGTTATTTATCTATTGATTTATACCATTTAGCCCCCCAAACTTCAAATTTAGTATCATTTTAGTCCAAAAAAATTTTTTTTAGCCCCCCCACCCAATAATCCCTAGGTCCGCCCCTGCCTATCGGAATAATGTATTCAATGCATTATCCCGTTAGAGTTTATAACTACGTTTCAGGGGGTGAGTGTAATTATCAATACCATAGGGACCTTAAAATTATTTAAGCATACCGCAGGGGTGTGGGTGTAATTAATAGTTAAACATCAATGAAGAATTTGTAACATAAATATTACCATGTTATGTTTTCTACTACGATCATCAGAATAATTTATTGTATATTTTATCATTGTTCTTGTAAATTGGTGTGTTACATATTTAGCGTTATTTGTGTCATAATGATGATGCTTTTTCAGACTTATCAACTATTCCATGATAATAATTAAATGTATCCTCAAATAAATAAATAGTTATTACTTATGAAAGTTAGTATATTAAATATTTTGAAATTTTTAATAAGAAATGAAATAAAATGTAATATACATTTTTTAAGATGAAAGCAAAAACATGCAACAAATAAACCTTTTATGTTTAAGCATCCCATGCATGTAGTATATACAATTTTGATTTGATATAGTTCTCTAAGAATATCTTCCATGCATTTAATTATTTCTACCATTGAAAAAATGACATATAATATGTAGCAATGAAATATCGATAACAGTATTATTCGTCAAGTCCATTTAATAAATGATTTATTTTTATGATGTGAATATATCATACAAATGTATGTTTAATTTCTTGAAAATGAGGTTTTTTTTTTTTTTTTTTTGAAATTTTAACTACCTAATATTTTAACCGTTTGAAAGATTGAATAAGTATTTACAAAACTAAAATTATTTATTATTCAAATCCCAAGTGTAATTAAAATTGATGAACAAGAAGAATATTAAAGGTGAGATCAAATAGAAGAGTTTTTAAATCAAATTAAGTTCATTGCTTGTATATATAAAAAAAGAAAAATGGGAAATCAACAAATTCGACTAACTAAAATAATTTAAAATTTATTTCTAAAATGAAATCTTACTATAGACAAAAAAAATAGTTAATAATATTTTTTTATTTCGAATTTCATTGCCAACGGTCTCTAGGTCGAGATTGTAAGATGATCTGGACTGTTTTGTCCTTTTGTCCCCATTCACAATAAGAGTAGGCTTAAGGTAATTATGACTCAAGCCCAAGAAGGATCGGGAGCCCGAAACCCAAAGAAGGCCCAACGGCAATTATCTACATAGTGGGCCGAAGGCGATACCCAGGAGAGAAACCTCACACGATATGAGAGTCACGCCGCCAAGTCGGCGAGATAACTCTATATCTTGGCAGAATAGTGTACCTCACTCGCCCAAAAGTTAAAACGTAGGGGAACACAACTGATACGAAAAGGATGTGTGGCAAAATAGTATTGGTAGGAAACGGGAAAAAAGGACCATTGATGACCCTCCACGTGGCAAAGTAGATAGCGGCGATTCGGGCCCAGAGAGTGCGCCACGTGGCCTAAAAAAATCCATTTACCTTTAATATATATGGCCTTTCTAGGTCAGAAGAGGGCTGCCATTTTTCTCACAATACAATATGCACACTTGCTTCCTTGCTCTTCAAGAAAAATAGTGAATTCTGATCAGTTGAGTCGAGTCCGATTAAATCATATTATAGCCACTTTCCATTATATATATATATATATATATATATATATATATATATATATATATATATATATATACTCATAAGGATCATTCTCACGAAAAGGTATTGTTATTTTAGCTCATTAAACATCTTGAAATAAACATACATAATCCATACACTTATGTAAAAGCCCAAGTAATCTTGTGTAGCCAAATCGGCCACATCAAATGGCGCAGTCTGTGGGAAACATTGAGTTATAGACGTGAGTGTTATTGTTTTTGTTTCTTTACTTTGGTAACCCCGTTTTTGTGTTTAAATTTTCAGGTATAAATGACGACAACAGAGAAAAATTTGGAAGCTTGTTTTTTAGCTGAGGAGTCATCACCATCTTATTGGGAAGATCCCCCCACACCAATCACACCAATGGTGCGAATGGCACCACTTGTCGAGGTCCAAACTACCCCTTTGACGCTTACTGTGGAGGACATTCAAAGGATAGTCAACCAAGCCCTACAACAGGACCGAGCAAGCAGAAAAGTGGTTAAGGCTCACCTACCTCGTAACTCAGCCCCTGTAACGGCTACCCAAGGGGCGAGATTGACAGCAGACCCTTCCGCGAGTTCGCCGGTCCCGCTCCAGCGACAGCAGCGAGGAAACCGATTTTCGGCGGAAATCATGGCCTACAATTTGCCAGTAGAATTTCAAGCCCTGGAACACCTCGCGTATGACGGAACGACCGACCCTTAGGACCACGTGAGCAGATTTCAGACCACGTCCTATCTGCATCGGTTCTCGCACAGAATCATGTGCCGCGCTTTTGCGATCATGTTCCGAGATGCAACTCAACTTTGGTTTGGCCAACTCTCAGAAGGCTCGGTGCGAGATTTCGAGACTTTTAGCTCTATGTGCTGGATCGCTTCGCCAGCTCCAAAAAGCACAAGAGTCGACTCTCACACTTTTCAGTGTTCGACAAGAAGAGCATGAGTCCTTGAGAAGTTTCATACGTCGGTTCACGAGCGCCACTAGAGAGGTGCCCGGCCTTTCCTATGATGTGCTTACTAATTCTCTGATGCAGGGACTGAGAGATGGCGAGCTATTTAGATCGCTCGCAAAACGAGTATCGTCGATGTATGACGAACTTTTAAAGCGGGCAGAAAAGTACATCACCGAAAAGTACATCACCATGGAAGGAGGCGAGGAAGATGAAGGAGGAAGAGATATTTGTGATACTTGCTCAGCGTACTCCGATGCGGATTTCTCCTCGGGGACCGGTGGGACCTCGCCGGCACGCCCCCGCTCGCGAGGCACCCGTCCAGGAATATAGAAAACCTCGATATGCTAGCAATGCCATTCTCAGTAAGACGCCCACACAAGTACTGATGGCGGTGGAGAGGGGACCTGATATTCGTTGGCCGATGACATACAAAAGGACGCTCCCCAAGGGCCCCAATGAGGGAGGTTATTGCCGATATCACAACAGGTATGTAGCCATTTAAAAGACAAGCTAGAAAGGCTAGCTCGGGAGAACAGGCTGGAAAAGTTTGTTAGAAAGCAAGCGGAAGATCATATCTCGAATCCACCAGCTCTGCGGCACAGATGCTCGAGGGGCCGAGGAATCATATTAGGATGATTATGGGTGGCCCACTAATTGAGATTCGCATAGTGCGCGTGAGAGGTATTCTAGGTTGGCAGTAACGCCGGTTTCTAGGGGGCGCATGTACACCATGTCCAGGACAGGTCGCCGGCGATCTATTTCAGCAAGGATGATAAGCAGGGCGTGATTCGCCCCCATAATGACGCTCTAGTGATTACAGCTGATATCGCGAGGTACGATATATCGCGAGGATTCATTGACAATGGTAGCTCAGTGGATATTTTGTACAAGAATTGTCTGGACCAGATGCGGCTGGGAGACTTGAAAGTTACGAGTAATGTGAAAATTGGGGCAGCAAGTATTGTGCTTTAGTAGGGATCGCCCTCAATATTTAAGCTTAAAAATACTTTTGTAGCAATAGCTTCGGACTCAGGTTAAAGACAAGTTTTTGTATTTAAATTTTCGTACAGAGTATCAAAGCTCTGTGTATACTCTGATTAGCCACGTCGAGAAGTACTTCCGATGACGTACTGTATAGGAATCTCTTTATCTAGAATTTTGTAATATATAATAAGATGAAATGCTATTTACGGTTAGAAAATTGCTATTTGCGGTTCATAACAAAACCCCCAAAACTTTTCAAAAAAAATTTAAAAACCCCCCAAACTGCAAATAGCAAAAAAAAAAAAAAAAAAAGAAAATCGAAAAATCGAAATCAAGCTTGAAGAAGGGTTGGGCTTCGATTTTTTGATGTAATTTCGACCCTCTTATGTGTAATATGCATTGGGTAGGTCGATTACGCAACCAATTTCATGTTAAAAAACCCTACAAATCGATTTGTAGGGCTTTTTTTTTCGCAAAAAAATGTTGGAACGCCCAAGATGGGCGGGCGCCCAAGGCGTGTACGAACGCCCGTAAATAACAATTTTCAAACCGCAAATAACAAGTTCCATAATAAGTCGTTTCGAAGTCGACTTGTAATAGAACCCCTCTTTTGTAAAGATGATATATATCTCGAAGTTTAGTGTTGTGATTAAACAGAAAAACAATGTCATATTCTGAAATTTATAAGTTTACAATTACTATGACGCAAATAGTATTGCTGTGAAAACATCATTGTCCTAAATCTCATACTGGAATTCTCAAGAAAGCTTATAACACATCACATACTTCATAACTTCAGCTATTGCTCTTCATGGTGAGACGAAATCGGTTCGTCATGGCTCAATTATAAACAAAGGCTGCAAAATAGAGAGGGAAAAAAACGAGAGAGAAAGTCACTAACAAGAACAAATAGACACAGAAATTATTAGTTCCCTCTCGAAATTAAACATTTGAAAGTACGAAGATGGAAATTCAAAATGGAAGTGAGGAAATTAAATGGGAAAAGAATTACCGTATCGACGCTCACAGGTTTACCATCAGCTGCAACTATCTCAGCAACAGTGCCTGACTGATCAGCCTGAGAAATATTAAGATACACCAATAAGTATATAAAGTTATACTCATGATGCACATACTTCCATATTCAAAAAGTGAGACAAAAACACTTCAATTAAATTGCTAGAGCTTGATTATTAATATTTTTCAAATACGTTCTTCTGGATCCTATATCAGATACAGGAAAACGGGTTCAAGTTTCCTATCCACGTATATTTGTTCTTTTGCATGATTCATTTTTCTAAATTCATCTTCATTAATGTTGCACTAATCTCGAGGAGCTTCAGAAAGTTCGCCCCACACTGAATCTAATAATTCAATCGTATCTATGTAATTCAACCTCAATACATTACCTGGACATATATCAACCAGTTAAAGTGAAGTACAGAAAGATAAAAGCAGAGATTAAAAGCTGACCTCGATCTCATTCATCAGTTTCATAGCCTCGATAATGCATATTACCTGTCCTTTTTGCACCTTATCTCCAACCTAGGAGAATCAATGAATAAAAATTAATAAGGAAAGTGGATTGTAACGAACATGCAGTTGGTGCAACAAAGATAATAAAGAAACGGGGCTGATACTGCATAAACCTAGCTAAAACATCGCTAAACACAAAAAAGCAGATTCGGAGGATAATTTTTTTTATAAAATGGAGCGAGGGTCTTTCAAACAATCACTTAACCGTAACGAGATCACTTTACAAGTGTGAAACTCATTTTGCCTTTCCATCTCCTAAGAAGTTAGTAGTCTTTCATATACATACATATGGATGCCCATAACTGAAACTCTATTCCTGGTTTAACTAATTTAGTCGTGTTGCAAATAATCGGGATTTGAGAAGTGGGCAAAAGGTTGCTAGTAGCAGTATTTATTCGTTTCTTGATAATAGAAGAAGGAGAACGAAATAATCTTGTTTTTCCTAACAGGTGATAATTCAAAACTCAACCCAACTTCAAAAGGAAAAACAACAAAAATAAAAAACTCTACGCATACTTATGAATGCATCTAGCAATGTATTAAATTATGCATTAACCTTGACAAAGGGCGGTGCACCAGGAGCAGGGGAACGGTAGAAGGTTCCAGCCATTGGACATTTGAATGGGGGATGTGACGACTTTGGCGTCGCTGGCGGCACTGAAGCGGGAGATGGAGAAACGGATGCAGGGGCAGGAGCATTTGCAGGAGGCGGCAATTGTGGTGATGGCGGTGGCATAGCTTGGTATGTAGGAGGTGGTGCATACATAACAGGAGCGGCAACTGGTGGCTGCGGCAGTGCTTCTTTTTTTCTAATAAGGAGTTCACAGTCCATTTGCTTTAACTCCAACTCAACTATATCCCTCGAATCTACAAGCCTTGACACGTCAAGTAAAAAAATTAAAAAAAGATTCAAAAATCAACATAAATCGTAAAATAGTCAGACTCTTTTGGAAAATTGGTTTTTACATACTTGACTAGATCTGTCACATGGGCCATAAAAGTCGAAATCGACGCTGCATCTGGAACTTCGTATCGTTCAGATTCTAGGGTCGGCACTTTCTCGAGAGCTGGTTTGGCATTTGATGCTTTTTCGACAGCAACCTTGTTAAAGTAGAAACTAATCTTAGCAGGAAAATCACGTTTATTAATTGGAAATGGGAAAATCAAAGGTCATCGTACCTCGTTTAGCTGAGAGCGCACCTTAAAGGCATCCGATTGGCTCCGGCCAAGACCCTGCTTTGATAAACGAAGAAATTTTAAGCATATAGTAATAAATACCAATACAAATCTACACAGGAAATACTTTTCACCACATCCAAGCTTTATTAATTGATAAGTAATATATAAACCAAGCAATTCAAAATCGTTAAATCTCCTAATTAGCTACCTAAATTCCTTTCATCTGATCGGAGAATACTAATAATATATTACATTAACACATCCAATTTTCGTTCAATTAAACATAATTTAACCGTTAACCATGAATCGGAAAACTCGAATAAACTTTCGTAATTGTTTGAATTTTTTTTTTTAATTAATTCGAATTCTAGCTAAAATCAATCAAAACTGACATCTACACAGTTATCAAAATTATCTCGTTTGAATTGAGTAACTTGCAAAAGCACTGCTAAAAAATGAAATTGAATGAAACCAGAGAGGAAACAAATGAAAACCTGGGATTGAACGACCGCCATTGATGCATAATTCGATCTGGAATCAGACGTAGGAAACGAAGCAATGCGGTTCCTTTTCTGGGTGGAGTGTGACGAAGCAGACAACAATGGCGAAACCTTCGGGCATGGAACACTGAAAGAAGCCATCGGCGATTGATTGATTCAATGCAAAAAAGGAAAAAGGGAAAATGAAATCAGGTGTGGACGAAAAATGAGAGCTGAATCCGGGGGAAGAAGATACAGAGGGCTTTTGTAGGGAAGAATGGGCGATAAAAATGAAGAGAGATGTCGGAAGAAAACAAAGAGAGCGATGAGAGAGAGAGAGAGAGAGAGAGAGAGAGAGAGGAGAGAGAGAAAGGAGAGAGAGAAGGCGATATCCACGAGGATGAACAGAACGGTGTCGTTTTCAGGTGTTTTGGTGCCTGGGCTTTTCCCTCCATAAAAGTCCAATTCAATGTGGTGGTTTAACCCATTTTTTAAGAACCGGGACGGACGACCGGTGCTACCGATTAAACCGCGAACCGGTTACCAACTCGGTCTGGTTCGATATGAAAACTCGGAAAAGCTTAGAAACCGGGTGGAAGGGTCAAGAACAGTTAAAACCCGTCAAACCGGTCAATCCAACCGACTAAAGGGGGAGAGAGAAATGAGGAGCCACAATTAGTTATTTACATAGTGCAATTTGTTGAACTATTTATTGTTAATTTTCTTTTTCTTTTTTATAAGTGCTTAACTGCTTATTAATTTATTATTTATTTAAATCCGCAAGTAGTTTTTTTTTTTTTTTTTTTTTTTTTTTTAAAACGTAATGAATATTATTAGGCTATATTAGTCAAATCCAAAGGCAAAGTATGACCTTCAGAACAACCAGACCCATAGTTCTTCGCAATAGCGTGGGCAAGAAGATTCCCCGAACGCTTTACAAAAGTAAAAGTACAAAGATCAAATTCTCTAGAAATAATAAGACTTTCTTCAATTAAAGCACCATAAGAAGAATCGGACGATAGATTATCCCGAAGGGTGTTGATCACTCGTAAGTTGTCACCTTCCAGCATTATAGATCCATACCCCATTTCCTTTGCCTTTGAAAGAGCATGCAGGGCTGCATGCGCCTCTCCGTCAATCACTCTTGGTCTCCCGGTAATCCGATTCACACTCCACCATAGGCATCTTCCTCGATGGTCCCTAGCAACGTTGGCTGTGACATAGTAGCTTTTGCTCGTGGGGAAAGCCGCATCAAAGTTAATTTTCACAATTCCCGGTTTCGGAGGATTCCAATTCGCCGGATGCATAGGTGTCTTCATTGGAGGAACTTTAATCTGCCCTTGCTGGTACGTCAAAAGATAGCTCGAACACCACTGTACAATCTCACTTAAAGGAGATTCAGGTTCACCATGCAACTCATCATTCCGCCATTGCCAGAGCTTCCACATCACTGTCACCGCCAATGGGAGAGTTGTCATGTCAAGTTGCTGGTGCAGAAATTTAATTCAGCCCCACACCGATACGATTCTGGTAAAGTTCGTTAACCTGAGTGGAGGCTGCTTCCAGAGCTCGACCACTCTCCGACAGAAAATAATCGAGTGTAAACTCGTTTCAATTTCAACCCCACATCTAGGACAATATGGGTCGGTAGTAATTTTCCGACGGAAAAGAGCAGCCTTGGTCGGCAAGACATCCCAGCAGAAGCGCCAAATAAAAATCCTTATCTTCGGAGGGATCGATAAATTCCACAAAAGTTTCCAATTTAGCTCAGTGGTCCCACTTGTCGATTCCCTATCCCTCAACCGACTGGGTTGCATGTTGACACTATTGGAGACTAAGTTATGGTAGCACGATTTCACCGAGAAACGTCCATTATTTGACCATCTCCACATCCACCTATCTTCAACCCAAGAATTGCCTAATGGAACTGCCAAGATGCGTTCTTTATCGATTGGTCAAAACCATGTATCAAGTAAGCTGACATCCCATGTTCGAGTCATCGGGTCAATGAGATCGGCGACCTTGTTCGGGAAAGAGGAGAAGGTTGGACGCTTTGTAAGAATATTCCGGCACCCATCATCTGCGAGCCAAGGGTCCGCCCATATGGATGTGGTTGCTCCATCTCCAATCCTCCTTCGAAGGCCCAACTGTAAGGCTGCTCTAGCTAACCAAATACTCCTCCACGTCGCTGACGGCCTATGACCAAGGTCCGCCGTAAATAGGTCGCCATTAGGGAAGTATCGTGCCTGTAGTATCTGTGAGAGCAACAGGCTAGGTTGGGTCAAAATCCGCCAAGCTTGTTTCGCAAGTAACGCCATATTGAACCGCTACAAGTCTCTGAAACCGAAACCACCATCTTCTTTGGCTTTGCACATCTCATTCCATGAGATCCAAGCTAGCCCGCGTCCGCCATTGCTGCCCCACCAATAGCGTCTAATCGCTGCCTCCATTTCATAAATAATACCCTTTGGAAGCATGAAGCAACTCATGATATATGAAGGAATGGCTTGGAGTACCCTTGCAAAATTTGATTTTGACATCTTTAAAATTAATTTTATGGATGATTAACAAGTTGAATTTTAAGTACCTAAGCTGATGTTTATAACGATATAAACATGTTTTTTAAAATGTTTATTTACGAATTGGTCACTTTAAAATTATTAAAATATATATAAGGTTGCGGCTATATGCAAGACTAATTCCACTTGTGCAAGACCAAATTAAAATTTTCAATGTATAAATACTATAATACCCTTATTTATTAAAAAAATAAAAAATTCTAAATATGCAAGACCAAAAATTCAAAAACACAAAAAACCCTATCACAAGACCACAAAACCACAAGACCAACTATCATCTTCTCCATCTTCCAAAACTCACAAGACCTTTCTCCTTCCTCCTCCATTAACCCACAAAACCTAGATTTTCAAAATCATCAAAACTCAACAAATCTTACAAAGATGGCAAGTATGGAGTCAAAAGACATCAAAATAGAAGATTCTACGATGGAAGAACCCAAGAATGTATGCATTTATGGGTTTTTTTTAGCTAGAATATCGATTTTCCAAAAAAAATCCCGTGCAAACGAATTCGACATGTACAGGTCGAATTTTACAGGTAAAAATCGACATTTAGATGTCGAATTTGAGGTATAAAATTCGACATTTAGATGTCGATTTTTAGGTATAAAATTCGACATTTGAATTTGTGCTACAAATTCGACATGTCAATGTCGATTTTTACCTATGAAATTCGACGCTTAAGTGTCGATTTGTAGCATAGTTTTTCGACACCTTGGTGTCGATTTTTGTTTTTTTCTCATTATTTGTATTTGGTCTTCCATGAGAAAAAAAAACCAATTTAATTTATGGGCATACTTGTCATTCCATCTTAATAAAATAGAATCTTTTGGAATTTTTCTTTAATTTGGTCTTGCACGAGTGGAATGAGTATTGCATATAGCCGCAGCCTATATATAATCCATTACAAAAAAATGATCATACCTCGGTTGAACCGGTCCAACTGCGACCTAACCTAACTAGCTTTACGATTCAATGTCCGGTCCAATTTTCAAAAATATATTTTAACTTTAACCAATGAATTACAACCAAATTCATTCGGCCAATTTAATACTATTCTTCTCATCCTTGGAGGAAACATCTATGATCTCATTTATAACTTGAAGGTAAATGACACCTATTTTCCCTAAGGTCTCGTATAATTATAATTAGCTTAGTCAAATACATTAATAACTTCTTTAAATAATAATTTCTTACGGTCCCCATTCGGTAAAAACTTACTAAATTATTATCTCTATAATTTAATATTTCGCTAAATTAATAAAAATCTGGTAGGTCCAGTTGTATTAATTTATAGAGGTTTAAGTGTATCTCCTTCCCACACATAAAAATCCTTTTTACAAATTTTAAAAAAGAACACATCTTTTGAGTGTTACAACGGCCTTCACTACCCAAAGCATCGTGAAGCCCTTTCTACAACCTTACTACGGGCAACGAAGCACAGAACCCCATAATTATTTTATTTTTGATTTTTTTTTAAATTCATAAATCTAGTTAGGCATTCGCGGCTATCAGCAATACTAGCATCAAAAGGTAAAATCCCTTGGCCCGATAAGTATTTGATGATGAATGTAAATTATGGTGACTCAACGATCCATTAGGGTAGCGGTCGTTTCAATAAGTGGAAAATTAAATTTAAGGAAGACCACAAAAAAGTTCTATTTTATTAAGATGAAATGACAAATATGTCTATTAGTTAAATTGCATTTTTGTTTGTTCATGCAAGACCAAATAATATAACAATTATTTTGCAAAACCAAAAAAAAAAAAAAATTTAAGTAGCACCAAAAGGTGAAATCGCTTGGCCCGATAAGTATTTGACGATGAATGTAAATTATGGTGACTCAACGGTCCATTAGGGTAGCGGTAGTTTCAATAAGTGGAAAACTAAATTTAAGGAAGACCACAAAAAAGTTCTATTTTATTAAGATGAAATGACAAATATATCTATTAGTTAAATTGCATTTTTGTTTGTTCATGCAAGACCAAATAATACAACAATTATTTTGCAAAAAAAAATAATTTAAGGACCCCCCTGTTAGAGTAGGTGACCAACAAGCCAACTTGTGGCTGTGGTCTTTCGTATTTATTATGGTAATAAACGAATCTTTATTCGTATTAATGATAAAACACCTTGGCATTCTATATCTTTGTCCCTTTGTCACAAGCATAGGTATAGTCCTTACAATTATTACAAGTACTAGTAATTGATCGTTAGGATCGTGAGATATTTACTTAAGTATTATAACTGTTAAACGTGTTCCTAGTCGAAGGGTTACGCCACCAATGAGGATATCGGCCTTTCCCATTAGAAGACTAGCACTTAGTGTATGTGTACTGCATCTCATCAGTAAACGGTATTGTGATATCGGCATGCATAAGTGGGTGCTCGTAAGTTGACGAGTTCACTGAACTCCCTCACCCTAGAAATCTCTAAGTGGTTCCCAATAATCGAGTAGAGATATCTATGGTATAGTTGTACACCATTAGTCCTTATGACCTAGACATCACCGTGACTTCACTAGAGGACCAGCTGTATCGTGACCTGTCTCTGAGTTCCACCGAGGACCATCCCAAGGGCCAGTGTTCGTGCAGTCCGAAATCTAGTGGGAGGTCTGTGCATTGTAGTCGGGGATTCGATCGCTAGAAAAGTCTTGGATGTCCTGTGTGTTCTGAAAGTTTGTAATCATTCTAAGTCTCTATCCAGAGCTGACTAAGTGATGATTAGAGAATTCGATTCTCTAAGTCATGCACGTAAGGATTACAACACTCGGAACGATCGCACCGTCATCGAACATATAAAGAGGTCTCGATGAACCAATGCCTCTAGTTCGATCGGGACATATGAATCGAAGGGACCGTACTGTACGTTAACTATATCTGAAGGTTCTTGCAGGCATTTCATTTGTATCTAGGGAATCATGACGCGTAGTTGCTAGACGCCAATCTTGATTCGTTGGGTGATTAAGGTGAAACGGGCTTCATCTTAATCGTAACTCTAAGGGACGAGTTTTGACCACAAAGGGTTGTGGGCCCACGGCTAGCTTACACCTGAACCATCGAGGGTCACACTGCTCGTGCACATGAGATCTTTGAATAAACG